AAATCTCATCCCCTTCAAAAGCATCTTTTGGGACAGATTCAAAATCTTCATCATTATCAGTAGCTCCCGCTTTCAGTGCTAAAACAGTCACCCCCTTCATCGCATTGCCTGAAAAAGGCAGCCTAAATAACCACAGCGGCACTCCACACCTTGAGCTTCCCATCATTTCGGGTCATAACCGTACTTCTACTCCGCAACTCAGCAAGCCTTTCCGCCCCCAAAACAACCTTCCCTTGTTTCATTGAATCAGTAATTACAATGCTTTGAAGCTGTTCCGCCAGAAAAGGAGCGGCTTCTGTAAACGGAATCAACCTGAGAAGAGCATCTTGTACAGCATCCTTGAAGATGCACAGGTGTTCGCATGCGCCTCGTCGGGCCGTCAGTTCTTCTCCATGATTATGATTCATGCTCACCACCACCATCAGCCACAGGAGCAAGACCCTTTGCAAGAAACATTATAAAGCTTTCTGAGCTTTGACTCTTGAACTCTCTCCATTTCGTGCAACTCTCTCAATCCTCACGGGCAACTGCTTTCTGATTTTCTTTGCCATGGGCTGGAAGTGGAAGAGACTAGCTGAGACAATCTTTGTTTTCAGATTATAGAGTATAGCGGGGCTAATCGTGATTTGGTACCCAAGAACATGGTAGGATCATGGAGTGGAGAGGTTAGAGCTAGTGCTACAGCGCTGCTCTGTCATGTTTTGAGGGCGTTGTTGGTTTTTGTCTCTTCTCAGGTGTCAGTTAGTCCCCGAGCTACAAATTTGGATAATTCAGAAATGGAAAGCTAATATGCGACTCATGCTATTTTATCAAGCTACGCTATCATAACCGCTTGGTACTTTCACAAAAAGACTCGAAACAAGCGACAATCATTTGATTGTGCTTTGCAGCTAAATGCCCATGCAAAACAACCCGAAAAGAAAGTTGACTTGTTTTCTCCTCTCTTCGTTAAAGTCCACGTCTAAATCACAGGTGACAAATCTACAAACTTGGGGAGAAGAAAGGTTACGAAGAAGCAAAACTTGGATGATCCGAATACAGTAGTGTGGTGAGCTAGCAATTGTAAAATCCGTTTCATCTACTTGAATGGGTTCAGAATACTCCTCGTGTGTTTTGCTACAAATTAAAAGAGGAAAAACAAGATGAACTCTTAATACTCGTAATGAGACGGAATCAAAATTCATCTGCTCGAAACATTTCCTCAGAACTCCCTGTTGAGCATTCTTCACTGTATAGCTAGCTTCTCTTATCAAGGACATACAGTTTTAGAAAAGGCGAGCATGTTTATTTCAATCTCATCTATCATGACCATGGATCGGAATTTTTTTGAGAAATATATTTGCAACATTTTGTATGTACGCTCCAATTCACTCTAGTAACTCACGTGCATCACATTTTAAAAAAGTACTTGGAAAATGCAATTGAATGAATATCAATCATCAGGAGACGCAACTGGAGTTTATATAGACGTCATTTGTTGAAAGACTTGAATCAATGGCCTATTGATTTCTGTTATTAAAATCCCAAAACAGCATAAAAGCTAATTTCTTTTTGTACCCTGTTAATAAAACTTTTTCAACTTTTTGATTAAGCATATAGCACCTACTAGGTCAAGAAGATGAAAAGCATACTGTAGTAATTTGACATACATACATACATATATATATATACATATATATATATATATATATATAAAATAAAATAAAAAAGTGATTAAAAAATATATTAACAAAAAAATATAAAAATTTTCTGCAAAAAATCACAATTCAAGCAAGGCCTTATTTTCTGGCCCACTAAAAGTTCACCACATATATTTGCTGCACAAAATGACTAAACAGTCCACGAAATAGAAGCTCCAAAAAAGTTCGAGACTCCTCTCTCAGTACAAGCTGAGACGAAATGAAAAGTCCTGTGCCGGCAGAACTTCATGTGAAATCAAATCCCTCTTCATCATTTCCACTGCAGCTTCCACATAAACTTGGTGATCATCTTCCCCATCAAAAGCTTCTTTGGCAATCAAAAGATCATCATAATCGCTCCTCTCGTTGCCTTTGCTAATAAAAAGAGTTACAATCTTCATCACACCGCCTGACGATGGAAGCTTCAGAAACGGTGCGTGCCACACTCTGATGCTTGTCTCTCCATCCCCAAAATTACTATTTCCATTCCTCATCCGAATAATATCCCTTCGTGCAAAACGAACCTTTCCTTCCCTCTTTGAGTCAGCGACCACAACTTTTTGAAGGGATTCTGGCAGCAAACGAACCAGCATTTTCACGAAGTTGAAGCGCCAACAGGCCATGTTCATACAACAATTGAAAAACCGCCTAAGCAAACTTATTAGATCAGGATTAACCGCATTGCCCTGATCATTATCGTCGTCAGTAGTAGTTAATCGAAGGCTTCTAGCTGTAAGGACGATGAAGCTTGCAGATTCGGAGTCAATCTTCCACTTAACTACTGGTGGGTCCACGTCGACGGTGAGATTCCGAGAATAGTCAAGTTCGACATAGAGGGATTTTATGGAGCTGAATTTAGCCAAAAATTTGGCAGAGGTTTCGAAATCGAGGACTTGCCCGGGGGCCCTGGCCCAATAAAGATCAACTCTGAGGGAAATAACCTGGGTTTGGTAAACTAGAGAATAAAAACGCCTGGAAACTAATGAAATCAAGCAGAGGGACTTGGCCTCAGAGATTTTGTCCAGAATATGGGAAACTATCAAGTCGTCTGGCAAGAGTTTGAAGGGATTCTTTGACGATTCTTCTCGTTTCAGAATCGAATGTGGCGGTTCTTCAGCTGCTAGCACAGTCTGGTGGAGTGAATCCTCCATTTCTCACAGAAATTTGAGTCTGAACTCTCAGATTGCTGAAGCAGAGAACTGATCTTGCAGCATTTAACTACACTGATGATTTTTGGAGATTTTTTAATATTTGTTGGTTCTCGTGCCCTAGGTGTATCGTGCAGTATAAGGCTATAAGCCACGGACTGGCCAATCCCGGTCACGCAGAGGAGGAGAAGAAGGGAAGAGGAATTAGTCAGTCCGGGAAATTGAAATGAATGGCGGGAAAAAAGGAATTCTACTATCTCTCTGAAACAAGCTTTGCTTTGGGCTCTCTCTATGGGGACTGGGCTCCCAGCTAAAGCCTATTGAGGAATTTCCACTTTGACCACCAATTGTAAGATTCGAAAGGGCAAATGCACTGCAATTTTCTTAGTGTAACTAAAAATTTAATTAAATTTTCCTTACCATTGCGCATTTTGCGTACCACAAGCGATCCCATTGCAACCAAGCTCCTGTTGTTAAATTAGGGCAAATAACATTTTAGCTCCTGTTGTTAAATTAGGGTTTTTTCCCACCTAACCAAATAAGCAGCCAATGCAAAATCTTGCGCCTTTGGGGGTGCGGGTGGTGATCTTCTGAGAGTAGCATTCTCCCCGAAGAAAATAATTCACTTTGAATTATAAACTATACAAGAATTACGTAAGGTATAAAAGTGATTAGGAAATGCAGCTACAAAAAATATAAAAAATTTTCTGCGTAAAAAAGATGACTAATCCTTTTCTCTCCCATACATAATTTCTCCGAAAACATGAAATCTTCTTTTCTGTTTTATTTTGGCGAAATTTTCTCATCTTTTTTACACTCAAATCGAAATGTTCTCTTCTTTTGTTCTCTTTTCTGTGCACAAGTGTATACCCCCAAGTTATAGATCACAATTAACATATCCCGCCAGATCAGATAAAGTGAAGAAAATCACGAAGAAGCGTATTAGAATATTACAACATGGTTGAGCTAAAAATTTTAAACTCAGGTGCTTAGAAAATTTCGGTGGAGTGGATGTAGAATTTAATTTGTTAATGTATTCAAAATTGGTATTTTCAAGGAAAATACAAGAAGAAAATATGAGACACAACTAAAGCTTCATTGTTTACACTTGACATTTGATAATACAGCTGTTACATGTTTTGAGCATCTGGTGAAAGTCATACTTCTGTTATTCAAAAGTTGTGTGCAAGAGAAGTCGATAGTTGCATCTTTTGTTGAAGTAGTTTAACATAGTTGTATTATCTATTAGAGCTGTATTATCTATTAGGGTTAATACCACTTTGTCCCCCCAAACTTTGGACGATTACCCACTTCAGTCCCTAAACTTCAAAATGGGACACTTAAGTTCCTAAACTTATAAATACCTCCCACTTAAGGAAAATTGTTAACAAATCCTGAATACCGTTGGTGGTCGAAGTGTCCCATTTTATAAGGGTTTAGGGATTTAAGTATCCCATTTTATAAGTTTAGGGATTTAAGTGACAGGTATTTATAAGTTTAGGGACTGAAGTGGGTAATCGTCCAAAGTTTGGGGGGACAAAGTGGTATTAACCCTATCTATTATGTCCTTAATTATACTTTGTCGGAAGAATGGATTATAGACCACCAGCCTCAATTAAAAAAAAAAAAAAAAAAAAAGGGTTGATGTTCAAGGGTTTGACCAGCCCCGAATGTCATCAACACCGCGAAAACAGGTTAAATTAATTCTAAGCCCAAGTCATCGTATTACTCGGACATGATTATGATTTACTGCAAACATTCGCAAACAGTCTTGTAAATGTGGAAGAATGACTTGCACTTTATTCAACCTAATTTAAACTGCTCATCAAGATTCAGTTTTAGATGATGAATTGGTCAGTAATTTGCTCCTACAAGAAATTTCTGTTAAATAGAATTATGTCTTTGGAAGCTGCCACCAAATTATGTTTCTGCCCCAAAAGGAAATTGCTTGCCGTGGCTGCTGACCAGCTCGAGCCCAAGCCAACGTAATTTAGAAAGAGTTTTCGGGCAGCTTCCCGTGCAACTTCGAGGAAGGCCTACCACCTGACGCCGCCATGTAACGGCCAAGAAATTTAACTGCAAAAGCGCCCCGAATCCAACGTAAGACACCCTCATCTGTACATTAGTTGGCATCTCCTTCGCCCCTACCACTCCTTCCACCAAGAAATTTCGCTCTTTGATCGATCTTCTGCCCATCCCTTGTTATTTAAAGCCCTCTAGCACCATCCCTTCCTTCACATCAACTTCTTGTCTTAGGCTCTTAGCCTCTCCTTCGTGCATCAATATTTGGTACCGAAAATAATGGCATTAAAAGGGTATCTTGTCGAGTTTGAAGACTTCTTCCCTACAATGGTGGAGAAACTTGGCGCAGAAGGATTCTTGGATGAGCTAGGCAATGGGTTTAGGTTGCTGATGGATGAAGAAAAAGGGCTGATCACATTGGAGAGCTTGAAGAAAAATTCAGCCTTGTTAGGTTTGCAAGACATGAAGGATGACGAATTGCGATCTATGTTAGAAGAAGGGGATTTGGATGGCGACGGGAAGCTGAATGAAATGGAGTTTTGTGTTCTTATGTTTAGATTGAGTCCTGAACTCATGAAGACTTCAAGAGTGTTTGTTGAAGAAGCTATATTAAATGAGTTATAGGCTCTAATTTAGCAAGTAATGGTACTGTAGATTAGTAGATAAAGCAAGGGCCTCCATCCTATTGCTTGTGTTTACTAGAACGTACTTCTCGAATTAATTTTGTTTACAATAGGACTAATTACTTTCTGTAAATTTTGTCTCATGAATTTTGGCTCATCGGCAGGTACATGAAATCCTAGATCAAATTGCAGTAACGGCGTGACTTTGGAGTATATATTCTATAGTAATGTGCATATCGGAAGCCTGATTGATTAAGTTTAATTAATTGTTTATCCACCGACAAAGTTCGGAGTAGCATCTTCCCAAAGAAAGCACAGCCAAAAAACAGAGAAAGATCGTCCAACCATATTATGCTTTGTCATTTGAAGGCAGTCCTATTAGGCGCACTAAAATAATGAGCCATTTCTAAGCTACAAACACGTACATGTGAAAGTTGAAACCATTTTCGTCATTCAAAAAGGAAAACGAAGACTTGTGAAAGGAGAATAGGGAGATTAAAATTGACCATTAAGGTATGCACATAATGTTGCATGACGTATAAACGAGTACTACTATAACAAGGAAGCTCGACTTTGATCTTTGGCTTCACTATCCATTAGTTTACAGTTAAGTAGTTTTCTCGAGTTTTCGTAAGAAGGAAATTATTCGAGTAGCCACTAAACTTTTCAAATAGTCGAGTTTTGGGTGTTCAATTATTAATAATATATTTGTACCTACTAAATTATCAAAAGTGTAAATTTTAGGTCATACAATCTATTTTGTTGTTAATTCTGCCATACCTAACTATTAATAATACGTCTCATGAATCGTGCAAATCCTTGAATCTAGCAGAGTTAACGGTGCAATCAAATAAAATTGTCCAAAATTATACTTTTAAATTTTAATAGTTTAATGGATAAAAGTATACTGTTAATAATTGAATGGCTAAATCTTGACTATTCAAAAAATTCAATGATTATCCGAATAATTTGCTCTTAGTTTTCTCGCACGGAGTTTTCACTTTTTTTTTTTAGGTTTTTGTTATCCCATTAACATATGGTTACTTGTGTCAATGTAACTGATCATCTTCTTAGCTGTCTGACTTTAGAGGTTGTACTTGTTTGGTATAGTGTGCAAATGAAATGTGTAAAACTCAAAATGCATAAAAAAAAAAGATTCAAAATGTATAAGTGAATCTTAAGAGATGCACGAATAAGATTTATATTGTACAAGCGAGACTTGAAAATAACTGTCAAAATGGACTAAGGGTCCGTTTGATTCAATGTAAAATATTTTCAACGAAAAATGTCTTCCATGAAAAATTTTATCAAGGAAAATAATATCCTTCTCCATGTTTTTTCCTGTGTTTGGGAGGAGATGGAGACTACAAACCTTTAGTGGACTATTGCACAAGTGGTGGGTTTTGTTCTGAAACTTAAGGCTGGTGGAAGAGCTTGAATGGATAGTCTCACGACTAACGATGCGGACATAAAAAATAACTTCAATTCATTTATATGGGAAGTCATTTTACACCATCTAATGTAAAATATTTTCGACAGGAAAAATTTTTCCCAAAACAATAACCCAACCAAACAATAGAAAATCAAGAAAACATTTTCTGGAAAATATTTTCCTTCCAAACAAACAGACGCTAAGGGTTTATTGATTGCTGTGCAATCGCATCCCCGTCTCTAGAATTCAGAGTTTTTCAAACCACCAAAGATGTGTGAGCAAATTGAAAATTATCTTTTTGTTTTCTTCTCCCAAGTAGGGCTGCAAACGAGCCGAGCCGAGTCGAGTTTTGAGCTAATCGAGCCGAGTCTCGACTAAATTTTACCGAGATCGACGAGCTGGCAATTTTCGAGCTCGAGCTCGACTCGAATCAAGTCGAGCCGAGCTCGAGCTCGAAAAAAATAAAAAAAAATTATTTTATTTTTAAAAAAATAAAAAAAATAATATTTTTTTCTGAATAAATAATAAAATATTAAGGATATATACGTAATTTCACTATGAAAATAAAAAATTAAAATATATTTATATATAATATACGTAATTTTATTATTAAATAAAAATAAAAAAAATATATAAATATATATACTCAAGCTCGCGAGCCTAACGAGCTTAATATTCTGAGCTCGAGTTTGACTCGAGCTGGCTCGAGCTCGATTAATCACGAGCTCGACTCGAGCTTGACTCGAGCCGCTCGCGAGCGGCTCGATTCGTTTGCAGCCCTACTCCCAAGTTACAGAAAATTATCGATCTATTCACTTAAGGGAAGTTCTGAGACACGAGAGTAGTTTATGATCCAATTTCTTCTTCTTCTTCTGTCATTTTGTTTTTTTCATTTTATTTGATTTAGGGTCCAATTTTTTCTTTCAAAGCTGTCTAAGCTCGCAATCCATTCTAGAAATCGTCACGATCATCATCATAGCTAGCACTTTTATGTCCATTTCACATAAACAGAGTAAACCATCTACGTAACTGAGCCAGATGATGGCAGTTTTTTAAGTACACCAGCATGCCTTAGTCTGATCCTCCTCAATCCATTCTAGAAAACTTTACCTCCAATTCGATTCCTCGTCTCATCAATTTCAATTCCATCGATAACAAGCCTACCATGCTGCTCTGAATCAGTGACAACTACATCTTGAAGGGATTTTGGTAAGCAAAGAACCTCCACTTGGACGAACGAGAACCAGAATGCAGCCATCTTCAAATGAAAACTCAAGCAAGTCCAGAGCCAGTCAATTTGGTCATCGTCAACATGACCATCATCCTCTTGTTCAGTGGTTAAATCATGAATATAACTAATGTCGCCAATGGTTAGTAAAGTAAAGCAGTTGGATTTAGAGTTATAATTCCACCTTGCTGGTGGGTACTCGTTCATCAAAACTGAGATCGTCATGATCGAATTCCACAACAAGGGATCTTAAGGACTTGAATTTCCTCTACTGCACGAGTGAGCTGAAGCACTCAAGTATGAATTTCAGGGGAGCTGAAAGGAGTTGAAGGAATTTCACTTTTCTGGGGAAAGAAGGAAGACAGAGATGGAGAAAAAGGGTACTCGTCTGTTCTAGTTCTTTGCGGGAATGGAATCCGACGAGGGATGGTGAAGAAAAGAGTATGAATTTGGCAAACAAGAGAAGAAAAATGTTCGGAGACCAACGAACATCTGTACAGGGACTTGGCCTCCCCGATTTTGTTAAAAATTCATCTGGTAATCTTTCGAAGGGATCTTGTTCTTTTTTCTTTTTTTTTTGGTCCTGCTTCTATTATACAAAATGGAGATTTTTGTTCTTCTACTGGCAATATTTCATCAGCCAGAGCTTCCATTCTGTTTCACAAGTCCGGAGGAGTACTTTGCAAATATCTGTTTGCTTTGTGTTTTTTGGTCTAGCTTAGTGTCAACACTGTGAAGTCTTAACTTTGCTTGAAAATTTGGTATGCTCTGACGTTTCGTCTTTCTGGGTAGCCAACTTGATATGGGCTCTGCCTGGTGTTTGTTTTTCACTGGAAAAGGAAAAAAAAAAAAAAACTTTTTCACAAGGCCTAAGCAATATTATAGCAAACAAAAATGGAACATGTTCAAGAACAACACAAAAATTATGTATTCAAACAACTCGATGGATGATATTGAGAGTGACGGGCTTCAAGAAATCCCCCATTATAAAGTGAATGGCTAACTCCACCATGTTGGGGGGGCGGAAAATGCAAGTGGGATTTTACAGGGTTTAGATTTTGTCACTCTTGATAATATGTGTTTCAAGACTGAGACAGGCTCGCGTGTATTTCGACACGATTGTATGAACCAAACTCAAGAAATTTAAAAACTAACGTGAAAACGTGGCGAAATCACCGCCATCAAATTCCTTGAACGGGTTGTTGCCTTGGCATAATTATTCTACTCTTTTGTGGGTAGAGGAAGACAACATTTTGGAGTTCTGATAGAGTTTAAACTATAAAGTGGCGAAGCAATAGGCCCAAGGCCCAAGGCTTCCACACGTCTCAGAAATGTGAAGCACGGTACATAGATAGATTGAATGCTTCATCTTGGAGAAAATAAACCAGCACTGCATATAAATAATAGACACTAGAGCAGTACTGCTTTGGATTGTGATTTTTTGACAGAAAATTTTTTTTATGTTTTTCGAGAAATGTATTTTTCAATTATATTTTTATTTCACGTACATTAAATTGTTATAATATATTTTTTTACAATAACCCCTAACAATAGCAATCCAAACAGGAAGGAAGGAAGATGATACCCAATGCTAATTCAGACAGAACGCCTTTGCATGGATTAAATTAGTTTGAACAAAAGGGGACACATTGTAAAACAAGTAAACAACCGCAATGTAATTCTCTGTTTCACACTTGATTTTCATTCTTCACTTGATTTTCATTCTTGTCTGTCCTTCCCTAAAAATACAAGCATAACTAATGACTAAACTTGAGCCAGAGCAAATATGCTTACATGGTCAGGTACTGACCACTAGCTCTAGAAGATGGAATCTGATGCTTATCCTGACTGATTCAAACGATCAACTGAGTTGCAACCTTTCTGCTCATGTCACTCAGTCCAAGTTGAGATAAAATGAAAAGTCCCGTGCCGGCAAAACATCTTGTGAAATCAAATCCCTCTTCATCGTTTCCTCTATAGCTTCCACATAAACTTGGTGATCATCTTCCCCATCAAAGGCTTCTTTGGCAATCAAAAGATCGTCACTATCGCTCCTATCGGTGCCTTTGATAATAAAAAGAGTAACAGTCTTCATCACATAGCCTGACAATGGAAGGATCAGGAATGGTGCGTGCCAGGCTTTGACGTTTGTCTCTCCAACCCCAAAATTACTATTTCCATTCCTCATTCGAATAATATCCCTTCGTGCAAAATGAACCTTTCCTTCCCTCTTTGAATCAGCGACCACAACTTTTTGAAGGGATTCTGGCAGCAAACGAACCAGCTTTTCCACGAACTTGAACCACCAACAGGCCATGATCATACAACAATTAAAAAACCGTCTAAGTAACCTAAAATGATCAGGATTAAAAGCATTGCCCTGATCATTATCGTCATCAGTAGTACCCAATTGAAGGCTTCTAGCTGTAAGGATCATGAAGCTAGCAGATTCGGTGTCAATCTTCCACTTGACTACTGGTGGGTCCACGTCACCGGTGAGATTCCGAGAATAGTCCAGTTCAACATAGAGGGATT